AAGGACTAAGCGGTCGCTGCAAATATAATCCGGTTTATAAGTCTGGAGTCGAATACTACAGAGAATTAACCTACTAATCACAACTGCTAGTTTCGCAAGAGTTCAAGTAAACAACTTCCATAAATATTGAATAATGAGTTGAGTGTTTACTAACTAAAAGCAAAGTAATTAAAAAGCTGGAATTTTATTACTAACAAAGCAAATGTTATAGACAAGATTGGAAAGGTCTAGGGTTACGATCTTCCCTCTTATCGGAATCGTCCCTGCTACGTCTCATATAAATTCGCCTAGATACTCTCTACCGATCGTGAGTACTTTAGGTGTCGTAATTCTCTTCCGAGCAAATACAATAATTTACTAGACGTATTCTTCCGAACTACGCTAGCTGGAACTAGTTTACCACTCACTAACATCGCACCAAGGTTTAGTTATTCTTAATCCCATCTTTAAATCCTCCGTGTTGATCCCTCATACACATTAGGAGTGATGTTGTTCAACAACTACCTAAATATGTACCCTTTTCCCAAGTAATACATACTAAATAGGCATAGTCAATTGAGGGCCCTTCAATCAACCACAATAATCACGTAGTTGAAAAAGTAGAGAACATCCAATGGCAAACGTATATTAAACGCAATAAAAATTCATCCTCCAAGAGTTTCCATCAAACCCTAGAATAAAGAGGTTAGCTACTCATAATTGTTTTCACAACTACAATATAAGAATTCATCACCAATAATAGAAAAGGGAAGAAGAAAGATAAAAACTCGTTTCCGAATCTTCCGTCTTGCTCCTTGCTTTTTCTTGCCTTCAAAGATGCTGTGTAACCCTTAAAAAGTCATTCTTTGATGTATTTATATCACTTAGGGTTGCTAAGGGGCGAAATTTTCCAATCCAACTTCGGCTGGGAGAAGCTGGAATCTACGTCTGCTTTTGCGCGTCGCGCGCCCATGGACGCGGATTCAGCTTTTGAAATTCTTCCATTTCGCGAAGCGATCCGTGCATTTACTTTGCTTCGCTGTTTTGTGCCTTCACTTTTCTCCTTTTCGCGACCATTTTCGTGCCACGCACGAGAATAGACGAGCTCCCAATCCTTCAATTTTTCTTCTTTTTTGCAATAATTTGATATCTTTTGCTCCATTATCATTCAAGCTCACTCCTACAAATAAGAAATACATAATGAGTATAATTCACTTCAAATATCATGTAATCTCCCACAACTCACATGACAAATGAGATGAAAATACACTCAAAATCATGCACTTTTGGCCATTAATCACCACCCCACACTTAGACTTTTGCTCGTCCTCGAGCGAATAAAATTAAGCGCATAGGCAAGAAATACATTTCAAAACATACTCAAGCATCACATCCATGACAATGGTTTATATCAACGCTTAGAACCTAGCATAAGAACTATTCATACTTTTCCTCAAGCTTTACGTCATGCCAAGACTAATTAAAATAATTGTGTGACTCTCTCTAACACCCTAGCCTCAAAATTTGAATCCAATACATCCCAAACTAAGACTCGCATATATTTTCATAGCGGTATATATTGCACCCTACACTTAGCACGAGAGCGTAAGTGTGCAACCAGGGTATAAGTGTCTACGACAACTTAATGGCATTGATATAAGGTTACTTAGAATCATAAACTCCGATCGGCATGTCGCCGTATAAATTGGTATTTGGGAAGGCGTGTCACTTACCCGTGGACTTGGAGCATAGAGCGTTGTGGGCATTGAGGCAGCTGAATCTCGATATGGAAGCAACGGGTACAAGTAGAGTCACAGAATTGTATGAGCTTGATGAGTTCTGCTACCATGCTTTTGAGAGCACAAGACTATACAAGGAGAGAATGAAGATGATGCATGACAAAAGGATTCTTGAGCGGAGTTTTAAACCTGGAGATGTGGTATTGCTATACAATTCGAGATTGAAGTTGTTTCCGGGCAAGTTGAAGTCAATATGGTCAGGACCATTTTGTATGGTAGAGATGCATTCAACTGGAGCCATCAAGATTACATCGGAAGATGGCTCCCGCAAGTTCAAAGTTAATGGGCAAAGACTAAAACATTATCAAGGCATGTTTGAGGAAGATAAATTGATCTCGACCTTGTACTTGAAAGATCCTTGATAAGGGATAGCCTGAGTCATGCCGCGACATTAAGTCAGGAGCTTCTTGGGAGGCAACCCATGGTTTTGTTGTGATTCGTCGTGCCGCGACGTTAAATCAAGCGTTTATTTGAAGACAACCCAAATTTTGTATTTTTTTTTATTTTTTGTGTTTGATTTTGAATTGTGGAAGTATCGACATGTTTATGAATGTTGTAGGAATGAGATTGTGCGAATTGGAATGATTCAGGGTAAAGAAATCATGACAAAAGGTCAAAAGTGGCTAAAATTGAAAAGCTGAAAAAATGGCCAGCAGTGTTCTCGTCTAAATCCGCACCTCGCGCGAAGGTAGACACGGCCCAGGCCAGCCAAATGAGCAGAAAATAGTAAAGTGGGGGCATGGCACCCCCCACTTCGCGAATTTGTTTTTTTCCTTCTTCTTCTTCTTCTTCTTATTATTATTATTTTACTTTCTTTTCGACTAAGTTGTTCCCAGGTTTGTTATTTCAAACCTCTCCCCCAACGTAATTAACCCCCCTCTACTCCCAACCCTCACTTCCCGTTTTTGCCTCCCCTCTCGCACCAAGTCCTCCCAATCCCTCATACAAACTGGTAACACCCCTTCTTCTTTTCTGCTCGTTCTTGTCCCCTCCCCCACGTAGCAGACCCCTCCCCTTTCCCTTAGGTTTATTTCTTGTTTTTCTCCTTCTTTCTGTTATGGTTTATTTTGGTGGAGTAAGTGAATTTTGAATTTTGGAGCATAGTTTGCTCAAGATTTTGCTGGTTGTTATGCATAGTGAGGTGGGAAACTACAATTCCCACCACCTCAATCAAATTGGGACATGTTACTTGTATTGAAACATGATGGTAAATATTATGCATATAAGGTGATCGAAAAATTGCCCGAATGAGAATTTTGATAGGTTTTGCAAATTCTGAGTAGCAAGACTCATTGTTTTGGTAATATGAACATCTCTTGAGTGTGGGTTAGCCACTTGGGGGTCTTTGCACTTAAATTGCATTTGTTTTAGAACGAATGTCAACCCGCGACCAACTAAGGTACGACTCGTGCACGACGTGTGTGTCGTCCTACCCACTTGATTGGTTCTACATGCACAGTATATTGGGTGCATGACCTTCTCCTTTCGCTATCCCAGCACTGCTCCCATAACATAATCGCTTGCATCACACATCAACTCAAATGGTTGCTCCCAATCGGGTACAACTATGATAGGTGCAGACACCAGCCTCTTCTTCAATTCCTCAAAAGCTACCCTGCAATCATCAGAAAACACAAAAGGGTGATCTTTTTCAAGCAATTTACCCAAAGGGTTATCAATTTAGGAAAAATATTTTATAAACCGCATGTTGGAAACGGCATGGCCAAGGAAACTTCTTATTGACTTGACGGAAGTGGGTGGTGGAAACCTTTCTATTACATCAACCTTTTGCACGATCCACCTAAATGCCCTTACTAGACACTAGGTGCCCCAAGACTATACCTTTATGTACCATGAAATGGCACTTTTCCCAGTTTAATACCAGATTAGTCTTCATACACCTCTTTAATATTCTTTTCAAGTTCATAAGGCAATCATCGAATGAGTTCCCCACCACTGAGAAGTCATCCATGAAAACCTCCTCTGTGAAGATGGCCATCATGCACCTTTGGAATATGGCGGGTGCGTTGCATAGGCCAAGCGGCATTCTCCGAAAGGCATAGATGCCATACGGATAGGTGAACGACGTTTTCTCTCTATCCTCTGGGGCAATAGAGATCTAATTATACCCCGAGTATCCATCCAAAAAGCAAAAGTGGGACCTCTCTACCAATATATCTAGCATTTGATCAATGAACAATAGGGGAAAATGGTCTTTTCGGGTGGCCTTGTTCAATCTTTTGTAGTCCATACAAATTCACCATCTGTGATTGTTCTTGTTGAGATAAGCTCGTTGTTCTCGTTTTGCACCACAGTGATTCATGATTCATGCATCTAACCACTTGATCTATCGGAGATGGGGAAAATGATTCATGCATCTAACCACTTGATCACTTCCTTCTTCATGACTTATTTCATGTTGGGGTTCAACCTTCTTTGATATTCTCTGGAAGATTTTTGCCCATCTTCCAGTAAAATCTTATGCATACAGAAGGCCGGCCTAATACCCTTAAAATCTACAATGGTCCAACCAATTGCAGTCTTACACTCTATTAGCACCTATAAAAGTTTTTCTGCATGCACATATAACAAACCAGATGAGATAATAACAGGTAAAGTCGAGTTAGGTCCCAAGAAAGCATACCTGAGGTGAGATGGTAGCGGTTTCAGTTCCAACTGTGGTGGCTCTTCGATTGATGGCTTAGCTGGAGGGGCCTTTCTTTCTTCTAAGTGTAAAGACTCGAATTCGAGCTCTTTTTTCCAGTACCCTTGGCCTTCAAGATCCAACACCCAATCCGTCAAGTCCTCACCATTTACCTCTTCTAAGTTCATGAGGCAGGCCGCAAGAGGGTCTTTTGCATTAAGTGCCTCATCATCTTCCTCCATGATCACATCCACAGCTTCTATCAAAGAGCAATTTGCAAACTCAGTGGGTCGCCGCATAGACATTTGCACATTAAATATTATTTCTTTATTATTTAGCCTCATTTTTAGCTCCCCAGTTTCACAATCAATCAAAGTTCGTCCTGTGGCCAAGAACGGTCTTCTCGAAATTATGGGAATCTCCTCATCAACATGGCAGTCCAGAATGACAAAATCTACCGGAAACACAAACTTTCCCACTTGCACAAGTAAATCGTCAAGTATACCAAATGGCCTTTTCACCATTCGGTCAGCTAGCTGTAGTAGAATGGATGTGGGCCTTGCTCTTCCAATGCCTAACTAGTTATAGATAGCCAATGGCATCAGATTTATGCTCGCCCCCAAGTCACACAATGCTTTGGCGAATGCATAGCTACCTATGGTACATGGAATTGTGAAGCTTCCAGGGTCGGATATCTTTTCGTCTATAGGTCTTGTCACAACAGCACTACAGGTTTTAGTCAATGTCACAGTTGCCAAGTCTTGAAAGTCGAACTTGCGCGACATCAATTCCTTCATCATTTTTGCATAACTGAGCATCTCCCTCAAAGCATCAATTAGAGGAATGTTTGCCTGAATTTGCTTCAACATTTCCATGAATATTTTGTACAGCTCATCCTTCTGATATTTAGCCAACCTCTGTGGGAAGGGTGCTGGAGGTCGCTTCCTTCCTGTGACTTGAGTTATATCCTGCTCGGGCACTTTTCCTAATGTCGTCTCTTGCACTTTCTCAGTCTCTTTTACAACCTCCTTTTCTTCGTTTGCTTCCTCTTATGCATGTTGTACCGTTACCTCTATTAACCCTGTTGAATTATCTACCTCAATTGGTACTGGCACAAGTATCTCAGTTGGTCGGCTTTTGCGAGCAATTTCTTGCTCTAGATCAAGTTCTCTACCATTTCTTAGACTTGCCGCCATAAGTTGCTTTGGGCCCTGCTCTTTCAGATTGACATGTGTGTCGGTAGGTAATGTCCCTTGGGGGCGATTATTCAGCGCCATCGATGTCTGCCGTAATTGAATCTCAATGCCTTTTATCGCTGAGTCGTGTGCTTCAACCTTCTCTTGCATTTTTCCACTGGACCCAGTCAGTTGTTGCAACATTCCTTTACTTTCAGACAACCCATCATCTTGTCTCACTATCTGTTGTTGTTGAGGCTCTTGATAAGCTAGGTGTTGATTTTGCTGATTGTATCCATGTTGCCTTTGGTAAGTAACAACTTGACCCTATGGTCGCATAGCTCCAGGATTGTCCCTATTATTATACTGTTGATGTCCTGGTCTATACTGCTAGTTTTGCTGCCCCCAATTCTGACCACCTTGCCTCTATCCTTCATAGTTGCCTACATAGTTCATATTTTCCTAATAGTTCTGGTTGTCACTTTCATCACTCCACGAGCACACATATGGTTGGTTAATACATGGTGTACATAATCCCTCATTAGTCGTGTCAACTATGTGTACCTACTTCTGGCCTAATTCGTCAATCTTCTTGGTGAGGATACTCATTTGCGTCATCAGAGTGGCCATATTCTCGGCTATGGAGTTGTTTGGTTACAAAGCTACTGAGTGAACTACAGGGGTGATAGTAGTGTCTTTTGTCATCCATCCTGAGTTTTGATCCATTTTATCTAGCAGGACTTTACACTCTCAAAATGATTTGCTCAAAAATGCTCCACCTGCTGAAGCATTAACATTGTCCTTCAAACTATCTTCCAATCCCATGTAAAATATTTGTCCCAACATCTGATCTGGAATGCCATGATGTGGACACTTAACTAGCATCCCCTTGAACCTCTCTCACGTTTCTTGTAGTGTTTCAGCTGGTTTCTGCCTGAAGCTCAATATCTCATCAACTTGGTTGGCAGTCTTATTGGGTGGGTAGAACTTGTTCAAAAACTGCTTGACTAATTCCTCTCAAGTGGTGATGGAGTTTATGGGGAGCAAATTGAGCCAAGTTTGAGCTTCTCCAGTCACTGAGAATGGAAACAATAATAGTCTAATTGCTTTCGGTGTCACATTCGGTTGCCTTTGAGTGACACAAATTGACAAAAGAAATTTTAGATGCTGTTGTGGATCTTCAATGTAAAACCCGGAGAACAGTCCCTTGTTCTGCGGCAGATGTGGAATGTTATTTATGATTTGAAATAACTCAGCTTGTATCTGAGGGACTGCAATTGTGGTTGCCAGATTTTCAGCGGTGGGTTGTGCTCAATCATATAAGGCCGCTTCTGGTACAAGGGGTGCCGCACCCCGATTGTTCGGTTCATTCCCATTGTTTCAGTTGTTTTGGTTATCTATGACGTCCCCCATGTCTAGTTCAATTTGGTATGTCAGGTTTTGTTGTCGTTTGTCCTTCTTGTTTGCACGATTTAATGCCTTTAAAGCTTTCTCAGGATCCGATAATGCTTTAAACAATTCACCAATTCTTGAGGAGTTTCTAGGCATGCACCTGTAACACCCAAGACTACAAACGTTAGAATTTTAAAATAATTAATTTAAAATGAAGAAAACTGATTAAACTAAGAATCCTAGCAATTCTTCTAGCTGTAATTAATAACACTGTTAACTCCCCCGGCAACGGCGCCAAAATTTGATCACGCCCAACTATGACTTATAAAAAGGACTAAGCGGTCGTTGCAAATATAATTCGGTTTACAAGTCTGGAGTCGAATCCCACAGGGAATTAACCTACTAATCACAACTGCTAGTTTCGCAAGAATTTAAGTAATCAACTTCCAGAAATATTGAATAATGAGTTGAGTGTTTACTAACTAAAAGCGAAGTAATTAAAAAGCTAGAATCTTATTACTAACAAAGCAAATGTTGTAGACACCATTGGAAATATGTACCCTTTTTCAAGTAATACATACTAAATAGGCATAGTCAATTGAGGGCCCTTCAATCAACCACAATAATCACATAGTTGAACAAGTAGAGAAAATCCAATGGCAAACTTCTATTAAACGCAACAAAAATTCATCATCGAAGAGGTTCCATCAAACCCTAGAATAAAGAGTTTAGCTACTCATAATTATTTTCACAACTACAATATAAGAATTCATCACCAATAATAGAAAAGGGAAGAAGAAAGATAAAAACTCGTTTTCGAATCTTCCGTCTTGCTCCTTGCTTGTTCTTGCCTTCAAAGATGTTGTGTAACCTTTAAAAAGTCATTCTTTGATGTATTTATATCACTTAGGGTTGCTAAGGGGCGGAATTTTCCAATCCAACTTCGGTTGGGAGAAGTTGGAATCCGCATCTGCCTTCGCGCATTGCGCGTCCATGGACGCGGATTCAGCTTTTGAAATTCTTCCATTTAGCGAAGCGATCCGTGCTTTTGCTTCGCTTAGTTGTTTTGTGCATTCACTTTTCTCCTTTTTCGCGTCCGTTTTCGTTCCACGCACGAGAATAGACAAGCTCCCAATCCTTCAATTTTTCTCCTTTTTTGCAATAGTTTGATATCTTTTGTTTCATTATCATTCAAGCTCACTCCTACAAATAAGAAATACGTAATGAGTATAATTCACTTCAAATATCATGTAATCTCCCACAACTCACACGACAAATGAGATGCAAATAAACTCAAAATCATGCACTTTTGGCCTTTTATCTACAAGTAACCAAATAATACGTAAGTATACAGAAATTATTTTTTACTCTCAACCCAATATTGTGTTGTTTTATGTTGAAATTATTTTTCTAATCCCTTCCACCAAAAAACCCTAGTTGTTTTTGGAAAGGGTAGAGGAGAATGGAAGGGACAAGAAAGTGGTAATATATATTGTCACGGTTTAAAATCCCATTTTTAGGATCGTGATGGCGCCTAGTCTCTACGACTAGGTAGCCTGTCACACAACTACATCAGACAAGATATAACAATTTAATATTAAATAAAATCAAGAATAATGGTCCAAAACACAGCCAATATTATAATATAACTTTCACAATCCTAAAATCTGGTAATACAGAGTCATATGCTCTGCAGAGAATACACAAGACATTCCAAAATACAATACTATTTTGGATTACAATCAAACAGTAGCATAAATAAAGTAAGATGGTGACTTTGAAGCCTCCGAACGGAACGACAAGTATACCTTGAAATCTCCAATCGCACAGGCACAACTCTCAAAATCATCACGATTTGAAGTACCTGAATCTGGACAAAATATGTAGACCGTAGTATGAGTACATCACAGCAGTACCCAGTAAGTATTAACACTAACCTCGGTGGAGTAGTGACGAGGTAAATCAAGACACGCACTAAACACAAAATCTATGCAATATATTATCATAAAGCTAACAATGGCAGGAACATCAATATAAGGCTAACAGTGGAAAGATTATTAATATAAGGCTAACAATGGAATAATAGAAACAACAAACGACAACAAAAAGTAAACATGTAATAAAGCAGCAAAATAATCAGAACACAATTAATGTATGAATGAAATCAATTAAAGAAACAAATGAAAATTCAAGAAATCAAGTCGTTCCAACACATGATTTACAACAAGAGTTACGCCAAGGCACCACACCTCATAATTATAAATCATAATCCACAATCACGAATCTTACACACATGGCACCTCGTGCCCACATTATCAATCACCTTCGCACAGCAAATATCTTATGCCACAGCATAAGTCTCACTCGCACAGCAAAGTCCACGTGCCACCGCGTATATCTTTTCTGTGTCAATTGCTAATAAAATATTCCAAGGATTCATTTAAATGAAGTAAGGCATGATGACAATTTAAATAAAATAAGCGTGAAATGAGATAATGAGTTTATTTTTGGAATCCAATCAAGTAAAAAAAAATACAATTTATATAAAGTAAAGCATCAAATGAAATGATGCGTTTAGTTTAAGAATCAAGTAAGGTAAGGTAAAATAACAAGTTAAATAAAGTAAAGCATCAAATGAAATGATGCGTTTAGTTTAAGAATCAAGTAAGGTAAGGTAAAATAACAAGTTAAATAAAGTAAAGCATCAAATAAGATAACAAGTTCAATTTAAGAATCAGTTAAAGTAATAACAATTTTAAATAAAGTAAATCATCAAATAGGATAATGGGTTTAATTTGAGAATCAATTAAAGTAAAGTTTGATAACTATTTAAATATAGTAAAACACCGAGTGAGATAATGAGTTTATCTTAAGAGTCAAATAAAGTAAAGTGTGATAATTATTTCTTTATTTAAATTCGTTATGTTAACAACTCAATAAAATATGAGATGATGACTCCACGCAAGTAAATTCATCTTGACAACCAATTCATCAAGTAACACGAAGGCACAAATTAGCATATTTAAGCAACAGAACAATCATGTAAAATGCATGACTCACACAAAAGTATCACAACCATTCCAACACAAAATATCAACAAGAGTCACCCCGAGGTACCACACCTCATGATCACAATACACGAGTCATAAATCACAAATATTTCTTATATCGCCGCGTGAGTCTTGCATTTATTTTTAAAAAATATTTTTTTTCGAAATAGCTTTACGCACTTTAGCCCCCTTATATCGCTACGTGTGCTTCAAATGAAGTACTTTTTGTTACTAGCATCACACGCATAAATCTCCCTTATGTTGCCGCATGAGCATTAATATCACCACCCTTATACCGCCAAATGCACTTCTCATCACTACACAAAAATCAACCCGCACCACACGTGCCCATATGCTACAATATTTCTCAAACAACAATATCAATGCCACAATAATATATAGCCCACGACTCAAAAACAAGGTGTACAAGAGGCTCAACGACAACACAAAGAAACAAAAGAATAAACTCAACCATGAAAGATATTCAATGTAATAATAACCTCAAATAAATACATAAGAAGAAACTCAACAATGAAAGATACTCCATGTATTAACAACTTAAATTAAATGCATACAAGAATAAACCCAACACTGAAAGATATAATATGTAATAATAATTTCAATCAATGCATGAGAATAAATTCAACAATGAAAGATATA